AGGGATTTAATTAGGGTTTAGGGTTTGTGGGTTTAATTAGGGTTTAGGGTTTAGGGATTTGACTAGGGTTTAGGGTTTAGGGATTTAATTAGGGTTTAGGGTTTGGGGGTTTAGGGTTTAGGGGTTTAGGATTTAGGGGCTTTGGGTTCAGAGTTTAGGATCTTACGCAAATCGAGGAGTACGTTGCCCCACGTCCCACCCGAGATGCGAACGGTCAGGCTCGACAAGGAGCTGCTCTCGATTCCTGGTCTTCGAAGACTAGGTGATGTACCTATGTTTTTTGTCAGATTTTTAGCGTGCCCCCCCTGCCTTCACTCATCCTGACCTGGGTGCTGCTGATGCACTCGGTTTCGGATACTTGAAGGATCATGGGACTTAGTAAGTAGGGCTATAACTAAGGTAGCTATACTTATAACCCCAATTAGGGGACTTATAACCTTACTTGCTAAGTCCCATGATCCTCCAAGTAAGAGGAGAAGCTTTAATTTGCCTTGCTGCAGGAGTCTGCATGAGCAGAAAAGTCCCAATTTCCACTGCCAACCCAGAGGTACTCGAGTCCTAGAGGTGACCATGCTGCAAAGCTGATCTCCAAGCCGTAAGCGAAAACGGAAAACCTTGAAACCCTTTATAAATCCCACATCCCTCCCTAAACCCTTAGACCCTAGATCCAACTTAAGGGGGATCCCCTAAACCCTAAACCCTATATGAATCCCAAACCCCTCCCTAAGCCCTAAACCCCTATAGACCCTAACTCCAACTTAAAGGGATCCGGGGCTTTTCAGCACCGAATTCGAGATCTGGCCAGCCACACTTCCCGAACTGTCCAGGCGGCCAGGGAGGGGAACGTGAAGTTCCCCTCAGACTTGGACAATGTATGTATTCCCAAACCGGGCTACTTTGCTTCTCCGCATTATATGATCCGTATATATGTATATATCTATATATCTATATCTATCTATATATATATATACATATACGTGTATGTATATATATATATATGGAGAGAGAGGCATTTAGCTGGGCTTCCGGTGAACTATTGTCAGAGCCCGAGAGAGCACGCAAACATCAGGATCTCACAAATGTGTTTTCAGGAAACCCTCTTCTAGGTATCGATTTGGGGTACTTTAAATCCTACCTTACTTTTTAATTATAGAGCCCTACTTATGAATATTCTGGGTTCTGATTCGAATCGACACCTAGTCTTAGAACGGCCTTTGAATCCTCATGTTTCTGTGCTTTCTTGGGTCAACAAAATGTGGGGGGTTGCTTCAATCTACCTGGCTTTGTACAGTTCCTGTTTCAATCCGGGCTTCTTAAAATCAGCACCCGACAAGGACGAGAGAGCAACCCCCATCGGTTTACCTGCCGAGGACAACTTCTGACACAGCTTTCGCACGGCACAAAAACTGCGCGAGGACACAGGCACGTGTCGCTGTCAACGCTGATCTTACACCCAAATCAAGCCCGAGAATGCCTTGCACATGAGTGCGCAAGATGCTTGGGAGCCGCGAGGACTCAAGCACGATCCTCCACAGTTGAGCCTGCCTTCACAAGGCATGCCTCGACCCTAAACGCCCTAAGCCTGACAACCCCGAGTCCCGAACCATGAACCCCACATCCGAGAGCCTTCTCACCGCAGGTTTGACTGAAGGTTTTGCCTCATACAGGGCACAACATGAATTATTGACAGGCCTAAACCCTAAACCTTGCAGAACTCTTCGCCCAGCATTGAGCCATGTTCCTGTGTTTGCGAACCCAAGCTACGAGAGGCGTGGCAAGCAACACTTTGCCGCATTTGGGGTTTAGGGTTTAGGATGTTTGCAAAGATACTCGTAGCAGTAGAAAGGTGACGCTGTCAAGATGATTTGAGCTACGAAGAAAGTCAGGCTTCTCGTTCAGAGCTGTACGTATTCAGTTATTGCGGAACTTCTCGCTGATAGCGGCCAATGTACGGTCTCAACTGAAGGGGCTGGAGCAGGTTCCGCATTGTCGCTGCATGAAGACAACATGTTAGCTGCTAAGACAAGGCTCAAGACAAGCCGTAAGATAACAACAACCATGAACGACACTACCTCAGCAACCGTCATCATGCTGATGATGAGAGGTGCCATGTACCGGTGCAAACACTCTTCCGGGTGGTCATCCTCATAACATGAGCCTGAAACCGCTTGTAGCCAAAACACCGCCTGTAGGACAGTTTCTGCCTCAACGTGACAGCCGCTGCTGCAGCTGCTGTTGTTTGTTGTTGTCGTCGCCATATGTGCTGGGGCTGATTCTGCGGTGTCAAGTAGCTGTAGCTCTTGCAGCTGCAGGTGTCAGATTCTCGCAAAGCCTGCAACGAGGCCTTCCGTCCTTGCGATTACACTCGGCACGCCCTCCGAATGGGGAGAGCAATTGTGACTGTCATGATAATGTTGTTATTACTCTTATTATTTTTGCTGCTTGGAGTATACCTGTATGATTTCTTTTGTAAGTCCGTCATGGGGGGACTCCGTCCAAGCTCAGCCACACGTCAGGTAGACAGTGCACTTCTGCGCCAGCACTTTGAGCTTGAAGCCTTTCCCCCCTAAACACTAAACCCTAAACCGTGGTGGCATTATGCTTTGGCGCTTTAGGGTTTAAGGGTGTTTGGGGAGGTTTTAGAGCTGTAAGGTTTTAGGCTCTAGGTTTAGGGTGTTCCACGCCATGAGCTCATGGCAGTTAGCAGTTTTGTGTTTGATTTCTTGCAGGGTACGGACTGTAGGACACTGAAGCAATCAGGCAACTAGAGACTGCGACGGAATGTATGGCCTGAATCCGCGCGCAGTTGTAGAACGGCTTAGAGCGCTTGGATAGCAGACCTGGGCCCTCCATCTACCCTCCATTCGACCCCAAATGCCCATTGTTTGGGACCATATAACCCGTGTGCGTTAAGCGGAGTGACACGTGCCTTCCTTCTGGGTTACAAGCCTCCTTTTTGTAGTTAGATACTGTCGTTGTTACTGTTACTGTTGCTGATTGGAGCAGTATTATATGGTTACCTGTCTGATCACTATTTATATTATTAGTAAACTTACCCTACACCCTAAACCCTAAACCAGATACTATTAATTAACTTACCCCTACACCCTAAACCCTAAACCAGATACTATTAATTAACTTACCCTACACCCTAAACCCTAAACCATACGTCTGGAGATACTGCAGGGCTACTTGGAGGTTCATGGGTAGTTATAAGTAGGGTTCTAAGTCCCCTAATATGGGTTATAACTATAGTTACCCTACTTATAACCCCACTTATAACTACCCATGAACCTCCAAGTGCTTGCCCTGATCCCGATCGAAGACTTTTCAAGGGAGCTGGAGCTG